CTGGCGTGTGCCTGGCCTGCAGCGGGCGGCCCCGGGACAGGCTGGGTGACCGTGTCACTGTGGATGTTTCAGGACCCGTGAGAGCGCGGTCTCCGGCCGTGAACTCGAGACACCATGATCCCGTGGGGGCGATGGCACAGACCGCCCTGCCCTGCCCTGCCACGGTGCACGCTCAGGAACCACCAGGCACGCGGTCCCCACGGCCATGTTGGGGGACTCATTAAGAATCTGGCCTGCTGTCTTAGTCGTTTCCGGGTGGCTACCAGAAACACCCGGAGCTTTCACAAGGGGACGCTTTGTTTTTTTAAATAATTATTTATTCAATTTTATTTATTCATTTATTTTAATTTGACCAGAGAGACACAGAGGGAGAGAGGGGAAGTGAGAAAGCAAGCCACTGGGTCCGGTATTTGAACTACGGTCAGTGATGTGGGAGTGTCCAGCGCCTTAACCACCGTGCCACCTGCTGGTCCCCATGAGGGGACGCTTTGTTTATGAGCACAGGGCTCGGGGAGCACAGGGCTCGGGGGCTGGGACGTCCTGGCCGACGGCGTGGCCCACGGGAGCTCGGGGATGCTGGCGGTGCAGAGGGAGGGAGAGACGTCCTGAGTTTCCACGCCAGCCAGCCCTGCGGGAACCAGCACCACAGGGGAGGTGGCCACGCCACTGTCCCCTCTCCTCTGTGCTCCTCTCGGGATTGGGGTACGCACACACACGCACCCAACATAAGGTGGATTTTTTGTTTTTGGGGGGTTTCTTGAGAGAATTTTTTTCTGTAGGGCAGGTGCACTTGCCAGAGAGACAGGAAGCTAAAAATCACCCCCGGGGGGTTAGGCACACCGCGATCCCTTCTCCATTCTGCTCTGGGAATTTTGGACACGCACATACGCCTGGCAGAGAGAGAAAGCCTCTAGGTCCCGGACTGGAACCACAGTCGACTGCGTGGGAGTCCAGCGACGTCCCCGTACGCCCTGTGCTGGTCCCCACAGTTGTCATGTGACAACCCTCGTCTTCCCTCAGCTCCGAGTCTGGCCAGTGAGCAGCCCCCGAGGGGGCATTCCCCTCTCCGCGTCTCTGCTGGCCTCGCGGCCATGTCTGAGCCCGGGCAGGGGCAGCTCCCGTCTGCAGCCCCCGCTCGCTCTCCCTTTTCTCCGGCCCAACCTCTCAGGGACTCCGGGGCCCTGAGTCTCCCAGCCGGGTCCCCGTTTGGGAGGGAACGGCCGGTGGGCCGGGCAGCGCCTGCCGTGTGCGAGGCCCAGTCCCTGTGCCTTCCCCATGTGGCCCGGGACTCGGGACCGATCACATGGAGACCCCGTGGAGGGCCAAGCCCCGAGTCCTGGATTACAAAGGGCTGGGTGGGGCTGGGAGGGCGGGGAGCCTTTAGGAGCTGGACGGGGACGGGTCCTCACAGCCTCTCCCTGACACCGGGACCCGGAGTGTCCGCACGTCCCAGCTGGACGCCCCTGGGCGTCAGGACTCAGACTGTGAGGACCGGGACTCGGGCAGGAGGGGCCTGTGTCAGTGGGACGGACCCAGTACTGTCTACACCCCAGTCCCTGCTCACCTCCTCACCCCATCACCCCACAGTGCTGTCTACACCCCAGTACCTGCTCACCTCCTCACCCCATCATCCCACAGTGCTGTCTACACCCCAGTCCCTGCTCAGATCCCCACCCCATCATCCCACAGTGCTGTCTATACCCCAGTCCCTGCTCACCTCACCCCATCATCCCATGGTGCTGTCTACACCCAGTACCTGCTCACCTCCCCACCCCATCATCCCACAGTGCTGTCTACACCCCAGTACCTGCTCACCCCATCATCCCACAGTGCTGTCTACACCCCAGTACCTGCTCAGATCCCCACCCCATCATCCCACGGTGCTGTCTACACCCCAGTACCTGCTCAGATCCCCACCCCATCATCCCACGGTGCTGTCTACACCCCAGTACCTGCTCACCTCACCGTCTGATCCAATTCCTCCTCCCCTCCCAGTATCTGATCTCGCTCCACCCTCCCGAGTGGTGTCCGAT